CTCGGGGTGGGGGAAAACAAGCCGTGTAACGACGTAAGATCCCAAAAGCTTTATGCAGGAATATGTCAAGTTTAAAAATCGGTAAGTCCAACGATTTTAGCAGCGTTTTATATCCGTACGTCTCTTGCGCTCCTCGCACCGTCCGCAGCGCGTAGGTTGTGTCACGTCGCTCGCCTGTTTGTCTCTCTCTCTCTAAAGTGAGCAGGAGAAAGAGAGAAAGTGAGAGAGAGAGAGAGGAAAGCAGACGAGCCTTTAGAGCCGCGATCGCTTGCAATCGGTTATGCTTTGGCTAACTAATTCCGCTTAGCGATGTCTCTGTCCTTCGCCGCATCGCCGGCGCTTTTTAGCGAAGACGGTGGATTGGATTTGTTTGCGAAAAATGATGCGACATACCGGGGCCGCGTAGCAACGACAGTCCGGCTTGATACTTTGACTAATTCTTTGGACGTTTACTGCTTTTCGCTTTAGATATTTCTGGTTATAGACGGAAGGGGAAGCTCAGATTAGGCGGAATTGCATTGTCATTTACAAACGCTTTAAAAAGCAATTGCGGAAACGCTTTTCTTTTCTCCGATTCGCGACAGTGTCGCGAATTTATTTCGAACAGAATAGAATTATTCTTTTCTCAAGTTCCATACGAGATCGAGTCGTTAAGAATGTATTTAGAAAAAGCACAGCTGCACCGCTTGGATAGATTTATCGCGTGGAAATGACGTTTAATCGATTGTTTGGAGTGTACATTTTCTTCATTGGAAGCATATTTATCACATAACGGGAAAAAGGAGGAAGAAATTTGAAAATATCAGTTTTTTTTGTACAATTTTATTTAGCAAAGTTCTGCCAAATAGTAATATAATGCAAATAAATTAAAAAAATTTTTGATCTTATTAGATGTGCACTGTAGCGTGAATGATTATATCAATGATGCTTTTAAAAAGTTTTATTGAATATCTTGATAAATATTATACTTATTAAATAATATGTGCTATTACGCTCTACGTAGTTGTGCATTTGTCTACTGCATGTTTATATTTACAATGTACTAAAATAGATTCTGTATTTTTATATTATGTTATAATTATCACTCAGTTTATATAACAAAATAGTCGTTAAAATGTTAGTTGATTTACGTATTATTTATTTGTTATGCATCGCTACTTACATATTTTGTATTTGTAGTTTTCAGTTGATTTATAACGTCATTAATCAGTTACTTTGAGTTGTACGTAAGATTTCGTTGATTTATAACAATGAATGTTTATCGTGATGTAATACTGTTGTTTTCAACTATGGAATAAGTATGCATGTTTAGAGAGATAACGATTTTAAAAGTGTAAATAGGTATATATAGAGTGAGTCATTCAACATTATGATCTGTAATAATTTGGACTATTCTTACTACAATAGAGAGAAATTTGTTTAATGTTTATTATCTTTTTGAATTCAGATCCAAATGAATACGGCATGAATGTCATTATTAACATAGCACAATTGTAAAATTGACTGTTATCCCACTTGGAACAAGAGAATTGTACTCCACATTACTTGATTAAATCATACAACATTATGACTCGCCCTATTGATATATAATAATTCTCTAAGTACTATGATATAGAAAAGTAAAATGAAGTTATACACTTTTCTACTATGATAATCTCATATGCTAATCATCGTTTATTTTATTTTTCCCAAAGTGTCGGTAATGCACTTGCTTGCGCTACCCTTGAGAACGATGGATTCTGACCAAAGAAATCAGCAGGTGCATCAGCACTGAACGAAAATAAATAAATAAATAAATAAAAAAAGCAAAAACTAAATAATGAATGCCTGCTGCACTCACGCCGCCGACTCTGTCACAAGCAGACTTAAGATTTGTTGAAGTAGTACGTGAGTAGCAGCTACTCACGGCCACACTCAGTGCTGTACATACAGATCTAAATACATATATATCGTCGTATACATATATATGTATTTATCCTTACGCACATGGCAGCCATGAAGCATGGTACGTTTTTATTTTTTTGTATGCTTTGCTTTGTATGTAAATTTCTTTCGATTCACAATATCGATGAAGCTCATCAGGTCCGTATACGTATTACGGTGAATCGCTCTTTCAATCCTATGTACATCTTGCGAACCCGTGCATTTGTCTCTCTGAGAATATTGAGATTTTTATTTCTGTGTAATATTTTTTTTTTATATTTAGTTGGAAGAATTGGGTTGTTGAGTGGGTGATTGATTTTTTTTTTGTATTGATTGTGCTACAAATTTATAAAATATCGTATTATCTATTGTTTCTCTGATTTAGTACAACATAGACTGTACTTTGTAATTGCGTGTGTGATGATTAAGAATAGTTGGTTTGGTTTTATTTTACATATCCTACACATTTTGTACAAAAAAAAAAAGAATAGTATAGAACCTGATGATCTTGTTAAAAAAATTTCACCAAGTCATATGGTGCGTGTGAACCTCTGTTAATATTCGTAAATCAAGATCAACGTTAAAATCTGACAGTTGAAAATGAAACACAGTGCTAATTAATATTCTATATGTGTCATTAAATACTCACTGTGTGAATAAGTGTGAAAAGACGGAAGAATTTCACGTATCTTTACGTACAATAACAGCTTCTATACATTTCAGGCAAGACGAGTCAAGACGACGTATGTTACGTTGTCGCCAAATATGATTATGGGGCACAGGGTGCCCAGGAACTAGATTTACGTAAGAACGATCGCTATCTCTTGCTGGATGACTCGAAGCATTGGTGGAGAGTGCAGAGCGCGAGAGGACAGGCGGGCTACGTGCCGAGCAACTATGTTAAGAAGGAGAAGCCCTCGCTGTTCGATAGTATTAAGAAGAAAGTCAAGAAAGGTTCCGGCTCTAAGACTCTGCCGTCAAGTAACTCGCCGTCCCGCGCGGTTGAGTCACCCATCATGGCGCGACGTCTGCCGGCCGATCCGAGCGAAGCGATCGGCACCGCGGTCGTCAAGTACAATTACCAGGCGCAGCAGGCGGACGAGCTCTCCCTCGTGAAAGGCACCAGGATTTTGATACTCGAGAAGAGCAATGACGGGTGGTGGCGAGGCCAAAGCGGCACCCAGGCCGGCTGGTTCCCGTCGAACTACACCCAGGAGGAAGGCGACGCCGACGACACGCTCCACACGTACGCGATGGCCGAGAACGTGCTCGACATCGTGGTGGCTCTCTACTCGTTCTCGTCCAACAACGATCAGGAGCTGTCGTTCGAGAAGGGCGATCGCCTCGAGATCCTCGACCGTCCACCGGCGGATCCGGAATGGTACAAAGCGAGGAACAGCCAGGGACAGGTCGGTCTGGTGCCGCGCAATTATCTCCAGGAGCTCAGCGAGTACTTGACGCAACCGTACCGCGAGCGCGGTATGACGAGTAGCGAGATCAGTCAGGGTGATTCCCTCGAGCGGAGGCCGGATCCCGGCGATCGGCCGCATCTCGTCGGCAAGCCTTGGTACTACGGTAGTATTACGCGTTCGCAATGCGACACGCTGCTCAATCAACATGGCCATGACGGAGATTTTCTAATCAGGGATAGTGAAACCAACGTAAGTATAGCGACCGCTAATATCGCGGTCGTTTGATTGATTTTACAAAATTTTGCAGTCGATTATTTTGCAAAATTAAACGAAAAGAAATAATCGAATTTCTACTTGTTTTATTTTTACCTGTTTAATTTCTACGCTTTGTCACATCACGCGAATCATTAAGAGCGTTAAAATTTTGCGTCTGTTTAAATGAAATTGGCGATACCTGATCAAAGTCTAGAAATTTCCCTGCTCAATATTCTCGAGTCGATGAAGGGAGTATAGCGATAGTAGTGTGCCCAGCCTTACTCACCGCTCTAATTATCGTCAATTTTTAGATGGGCGACTATTCGGTATCCTTGAAAGCGCCGGGACGTAACAAGCACTTTAGGGTACACGTGGAAGGAGCACTATATTGCATCGGCCAAAGGAAATTCCACACGCTAGATCAACTTGTAGATCATTATCAGAGGGCTCCAATCTACACCAATAAGCAGGGCGAGAAGTTGTACTTGGTTCGCCCATTACCTAAAGGCAATGCCAGTAGCAATGGTTGCTAGATGAAATTCGTGCCATGAAGAAAAAAAAAAAAAGGAAGACAGTCCATGCGCTTTCAGATGTATCGCTAAGATACACGACGCCTGCCTAGTAATATCAATATCACACATCTCGTACGTTTATACATAACAATTAATATAATTGGTCTACTCGTATATTAGTGTTTCTCGATTTTCTTTTTACCATTTATACAGCGACGTATAATTTATATTACTCTAAGTGAAATCGGTAAAACTCATACACACTCCTCGGAGCTTCCAGATTACTCAGCAAACGAACAAAGAAACATTTAATACGGCAGCTACGTGAAAACTAATTGAAACACAAGGCTTATCTTTATATTCATATAATTGTAAAACGCGAACCGACCATGTTATTACGATTAATAATATATTACAACTGCATATAATATAGACTGCAAATGTAATGATCAAGTAATAATTAATTATCATGCAATTATGAACGATTAAGTGGATCTCTACTCTAGAGCTATTGGTATTGAATTATAACAAAGACTAAGTGTTCATTTGTGATTTTGTATTTATTAGAAGTTTTTAAGTAAATAAACTGTATTTAAGTGTGCATAAAATGAAACCTGTATTCTTTCAATGTATTGTCTTCGAGAACTTTCGAAATAATAGCTTTAATACATGTATTATTTTAGGACAATTCTACTATGATGCAAGACAGATTGTTCTTTTATTCTTCCGCCTTTTTTATTGTCATTGTTATTTGTATATCAGAGAATTAATTATAATTTTTTTTCCAGACATACATATGTATACTACTGAAAGAAACAGCGCTCGGAGAAAGATTGATTGAATTCATTCAAAAGCGTCGTCAGCGGAAATTGGAAATACTGCTAAAAGTAACATTCACAAAATTAGTAACAAATATTAATCTTTATTTAACGTATATTATATTCATAAATTAAAGTATTATTTTATTTATATATAGATACGAGATTGGTGCTCTCCTGGGGGATAAAAATTAATGGCACTAATTGCCAATAAGATCACGTACATAACAATTTGCCTAATCTAAATGTATTTTAGTTTCGCGTCGTTTGTTCATAACTCCGTTAAAAGCTTATGCGTACATAATCATAAGAAGGGATTGTTCGAATTTCTTGTCATGTTGCTTACTCCTGTGCCCACCTGAAATCAATGCGTGAATTGAATCAACAGTGACGGTGATGGTGAATAAAAAAGCACAGCAAACAAAAATTTCCGCAATTTGCTGATCGAATACAAAATTATGAAATAGTGATAAGAGAAGGGGATCAAGAGCCGACGCTGCAAGTACTTCTTAAATCTTCTTTATTGAAAAGAGTTGAGTAAACGTTTCTGTCGTCATCCAACCATCTTCAAAAAAAAAAAAAAAAAAAGATTTAAGAAGCACTTACATCCAGCGTCGGCTCTTGATCCCCTTCTTTCATCACTATTTTATTAATTATTGTGAGCCTTTAAACAATTCTTGACAAAATTATGATTTACCATGAATGGATTCGCGTGATACGCCGGGACGGTTGGTTGCCATACTTTGTTCGCTAACGGCGTCATAAGTTGACTGAATTGGAGTACGTCTCCATTGCTAGGTGTGCCGATTCCTAACCACTGTGAATCTGCAAGTTCATTTCAACATCAGATCAAACTTTAATATCGCTGCAAACCGAAACTACATTGTGACTTTTGTAAACATGTTTTTTTTTCAATTCTTTGGCTTCTACATTTTTTGCTCTATGTTTTCCTTTTCTTATTTTGCTTCCTTCAAAAGTGATTGAGAATGTTTAAACGCAAAAACGTGAATAGAAGATTACGACATGATGCCGAAGTATTACATAAAAATATATATGTTGATTATTTTTCCGAGAACTTGAGAAATAAATTTTATTACATTACAACTTACCATTATTTACAGGAAACTGAGTTGGTTTGAACGGATTCGCAGAATTGCACAACGAGTTATCGACGGATTGAGTATTATTATTATTGACTACGTTCGCAGACGGTCGCCATAAATCTCCACCCGCGAACGGGTTTGAGATGACGTGTGTTTGATTATTTACTCCTATACTCCATGTAGCGTTCGGCGCTGGAATTAAGAATTTTATTTACTTTGACGCTCTCTTTATGCTAATGGCGTAGTAATGAGGCGATTAATCACTCGTTCAGCGGGTAATTTGCAAATAATATATTCCAATAATATACCATTTGAGTTATTTGCGTTCCATGATAAAGTGCTTGTTGTCTCTTCTTTTAACTGTGTCTGCTTCATCAACGAGTCTAAGTCTTTAAGTGCCGCGTAACGATCTTCTGAGGGTGGCGCGAGTGCGCCATTCATGTTCATCGTCAAATTTCCACCGAGCTGATTAAACATTGCGGACGCTTCCATATCTAAATAACAAAATTCCTCTTTATAAGACAAGTATTATCTCGATACGATCGATTATTCTAGAGACGATACGTCGCATATATTGCCACTCACTCTTCGTATTGTTAAAAACCGGGTTGTTATCGAAGTTGGCGAAGAACGGCTGCGGCGCGATCGGCTGCTGACTGAACTGGTTCGCCGGCGTCGTCGCGGGGCAAAAGGGATCAGGAACTTTGCTGAAATCGGCGACAAAATCCGTGGAGAAATTGTTCGTGCTTATCGGGTCCACGTTGTTTGACTTCTGACTGACTGGCGCAGGCAACACCGTGGACGTTCCCGAGTTCGGCACTCGCGGAATGTTGCTCAAAGTTTGGGACTTGTGTTGCGCGACCGCGCTGTTTTGATTGACGATCGTGTTCTGATTCGCGATCGACGGATCCAGATAGTATCGCTTCAGCTCGTACTTGGCGCTCATTAGGTCCTTCATCTTCTGCTCGTCCTTAGTGTCGAAATTCTGCGGGGAGTTTGAGTTCATTAGACCCAGCCATATTCGCCTGCAGTGCTCGTTGCCGTGCTCCTTGATAAAATCTATCTCTTCCTGAGTGAACGTCGCCATGGAAATAGATTTTACCCTGTGCGGCGGAGTCAGGCCTCGTCTGCAAATGCAAACGCGGAGTTTCAGATTAATTTCCTCACTGCAACGTTAATAACTAAATAACTACGTGGAGGGGGGGGTGTATAATTATATTCGCAGTGCAGCATGATTTATGAAAATGTCGTTAATTTTACACGTTTTTTTTTGCGCAGAATTAAAATATATTTACTATACAATCTGCAATCGATATTTATATCATGCAACTTGCAATTTGATCAAACGCGATTACAGGAAGATTTTGCAGAACTTGAATCTTGGAAATTGATGCCTACTTACTCGAAGAATTCAATAGGAAATTTGTTATTTGAATTACATAAATTTATTAGACGACAGGAAAGGGAGAAAAAGAGAGAGAGAGAGAGAGAGAGAAAGAGTGGCGACGGCGGAAAATCGATGAATACATGCTCGCATAGTAATTATAATTGCATCATGCGCAATTTTGTTGCATATAATTACTTCGGACGCGGTCCATCCACCGCGAATCGTCTCTTTCACTCTGCAGTGCTCTCAATAACGTTTCAACGTATATAATCAAAATTCCGTGACAAATAATAACGTTCGCGTGCCGCTAACAAGGGATAGGACGCGTATAGTTGATGTGGTAATGAGATTTAAAAATTCGCACGTGCGCGTGTGCGACCACTTCGCGCAATGCGACTGATTAAGAGCGCGAGTCGATAGTCGCGTTCGTATCGCGCGTGAGCGATTGCAATTTTCTCGAAGGAAATAAGAAAGAGCGAAAGAGAGAAAGAAAGAGAGAGAGAAAATAATGAGAAAAGAAAGAGAAATAGCGAGAGAGAGAGAGGGAGAAATATATTTAGCATTTCTCTTCTCACGCGATCCGCGACAGCGTATAACATTTTGACCATTGATAACTAGAATTGCGCACAAAGAAAACGTCGACGCTGCTGATAGCGCTAACTTCCTGGCTGTGGATGTCGGACGTTTAAGCGCGATGACTCACTAGAGCCGTGCGAGAGCACTCCGTTTCTCTCTCATTCTCTTCTCCCTCTCTCTTTCCCTCTCTATTCTTCTCCGCGTCGCGACGAAACGCTGTAAAAGAAGCCTTGTACACGTGTATGTTGCCCGAAGCGATTTCGTCGCTGTGTCCTATATAGAGACCGATTGTCTAAGGATCAAGCGAGATGTATATCGCAGTTGGCGGTCGGCGAGATTTCTCCCTCTATTTATAGCCTCTATATCGCAGTCAGGACCACGATTCAAAATACGGTGCGACGCCGCAGCGATCTCGAATCCTCGATAATTAATTTAACAAATGCAATGTCGAGCGATTCGCCTTCGTCCTTCCCCGAACGGCCGGAGAGCTGGGCCGTTGCGCCATTCCTCAGCGGATTATAAGAAAATCCTCTTAGTCGGAGCTTCAACCATCGGGCCAACGGTCCCGGTTGCGACGGATTGCGACGCGGTTTTCTTCGTTCCGAGTGCCGTTGACATTTGTTCAATGTCACGCACGGAACCGCGAGAATGCATTTGCAGCCTAGCCTCGACCTGGTGAACCCGCGCAGCGAGCGCGCAGCGATTCCGAGGAAAATTGACGGGTGGAGGGTTGAGACGCTCGGTCTCGCGGACGACCGCACCAGAGGACGAGCGACGTCCTTTGGGGATGACCTCGCAGAGAGCTGGCCGAGTTACTTACAGCATACCAGAACAAGAGGTGCAGACGAACGAGCCGATCGTCATGTTGACGTAAGTCGGCCCGCGCTGATTGCAGTCGAAGCACTCCTTGTTGCCCGGCTGCGAGACCAATTCGCGCAGGGTTTTCAAGTTCCTTTCATCCTGCTTCCTTTTCGCGGACGCCATGGCGCGCGCGCGACGGCGGCAAGTACACAAGACGGATGGACGGTGTCTTCCTGAGCACTGCCCGAGCTCGAGCACAAACACCAAGTACGGCGATCGTGCGACTCACCTTCCACGCCGCGCCTGCAAAACCGACTGCAACGCACGCTCGTTCGCCCTGCTCTTTCTCTTTCTGTCGTCATTAAACGAAAGTCTATTAGAGATAGCCAATGGAATTCGGATGTTACTTTTGCAAACGCGAGAGGCTGATTGGTCATCGTTTATTACGCAACGTTGTGAAAAGAGCAAGAGTGCAACAAATTTCCTAGTGCATTCGTCACCTCATTGGTCGACCCTTTGCTCGCTTTTACGTGCACGAGAAATGTAAAGGTATGTTTAGGCAAATTTGCATAATTACATAATGCATTATGTAAATTTATATTAGATACATGATTGGTCGAATTCTTGATATATATGCATTATGCGAAAGCAGCTGTGATCGAAATACGGAGTGCTATCTATATAAAACATATAAAGCGCTTTTTCTTTCCAGATGACACCTCTATGAATTTTTTCACCACAGGATGTTTACAGAAAGTCTGCAAACGGCACGCGAACGGCGTAATTATTGTTGAGAGACGGTGACAGGTCGTGTCACCGGTCGAAGCGGCTGCTCGGTGAACGTGCTGTCAAATCTCAGCTGCCACAACAACGTTGATTAACACAGCTGTCATCGCAGCGTGGCAGTTTCGTTCGCGATTGAATGTCGCACTTTCTGTATGTTCGTACTACCCGTGAATAAGTTATGAGCGTGGACAGCGAGAATAAATCGAACAAGACGATGGCACCATACACTTCGTCAGAGGCAGAGCCGGAAAACGGCGTCGATGCGGAAACTTTGCCGGAATTTTCGGAGGCCATAAATTTTACCGGCGAAATCACTCCGGTGACTCCGGAATTCGTTCTCCGATTACCGACTATTACAAATGGTACGTTCGACTTGTTTCTATTTCTATTAAAAATTGTTAAACTGTTTACTTTGTCATTTTTTAATCTTTCTTTTCTTATAATAAACTATATTTTCACAATTTCTAATTTTAGACTACCTCTGCTCTCCAGAGGCCAACGTCTACAAAATAGATTTTACAAGATTCCAAATTAGGGATCTAGAAACTGGTGCTATATTGTTTGAGATAACAAAACCTCCTGCTCATGGTGCGTAATATGATTTAGATATTACACTTTTAATCAGTTTTTAAATGATGACTAGTGCCTGAATCAATTTATGATGTTATTTGATATCATTTTGTGATTTTGCTTCTCTGTTTGTGAATGAAAATCTGCAATATTATGATTAATCACTGAAGTATTTTTTGTAATATAAAACTACTTATGTGTGCAATATGTAAAATTTGTAAACAAACCCATAATATAATTTGTAAAACAAAGATCAGACAATCTCAGCTTTAAAACAAATCTTTCAGTTTCCAATTTTACATAAAAAATAAATGATTTTTACTAATTGCTTTTTTTATTTTTAGAATGTAAATGTGCTCATCATCACCATCCTCAAGAGCCAGAGCCTGATTGCGACGAGCTGGAATCTGAGGATACAAATGCAGGACGCTTAGTGCGATATCAATTCACGCCTCAATTTCTGAAATTAAAAACTGTCGGGGCAACGGCTGAATTTTTAGTAGGACCTAGACCAGTTAACAACTTCCGAATGATAGAACGACACTTTTTTCGAGACAGATTGCTGAAAACCTTTGATTTTGAATTTGGATTTTGCATACCGAATAGCAAAAATACATGTGAGCATATTTACGAATTTCCAACATTGCCTGCGGAGTTGGGTAAGTCACTTGTAGATTTACAAAAAATTATTTTATCAAACACTTGAATGTCCTAATGATGTACTTAGCGTTACTCACTGTCTAAAGATTCAATAAGAACAACATATGGGATCTTTCCAGTTTCCGAAATGATCGCGAACCCATTCGAGACACGATCTGACTCATTTTATTTCGTCGACAATCAGCTTGTGATGCACAATAAGGCTGACTATGCATTCAACGGTGGACACGTAGAACGTATGACACATGACGAATGTAATGTACAATTTGTTGCGGATTAGTTGTTGCAAGTAATATTTATATATGTATATGTATATATACATATATATATGTATATGATTATAGCATCACAACTATATGCTACAGCAACGATGACGATCGCGCTGCACATTTAGCTAGCGTCCGATATTTCGCCTTTTGGCACGAAAACGAGCTTAGAAATTTTATGGATCAGCATTGCTCTCCGAATATGCGAATATTATTGCAATGCTTGTCTAAAGTTGCTTTTAATTTGTCGAACAATTGAATAGTTCCTAATCTATTTTTTTATTTTTTTTTTATTTATGTAAAGTTGATTATCAAAGATGTACTTAATTTTACGAGATGTTTTATTGACGTTTGTTCTTGTACGATACGTTCGTATCGTAATTTAAATATATAGCACATTGAACGATATGGCCTTTGAGTGGATCCATGTCTGGTTCTATAAACTTTTACTCTTTAATCTTTACAATGCAGCCTATACAGTGCAATTTCCACGGCCATCCATGTAAAACTATAAAACTGGAAAGGAATGGATAAAAAAATCCGCGTTTTTCAGTGCTCAGTAGCGCTTTTTACTGCAATTTCTTTTCATTCTTACACAACTACACGATTGTTTAATACTTTCCACATTGTTCTGTAATTTGGAGTTCACTCAAAATAAATGTATATATTTACAATGGACAATTTATAATTACTTTTTAGATATCTACAAATATCACAAGGTTGGATAATTTATAAAATTTGTTAAAAGTTCAACAAATTCGATCGGTTTGTCCGCGTGAACCCAATGATCCGCCCCATCTATGTAACGAAATTCTGCCAAAGGAAATAACTTCTTGATAGTATCATGATCCTGTACTCGAATATAATCACTATTAGCACCACCTATGAATAACGTAGGGCTCTTGTACATTTTTGTTTCTACATTGGGAAATACAGCTATCCGAGTTGGAAACGCCTGTTCCAACACTGGTAAGTTAACTCGCCACTTGTACTTTCCCGAATCTGCCTCCACTAGGTTCGTCGTCAGAAACTACACAGATGTGTAAATGTTAGTCTCTTTACTCTTAAACATAAAACGAAAGAAAAAGAAACTTTACCTGACGTAAAGCGCTAGATTTAATGGACTTTGCAAGTTGTTGGTCCACTATTTTGCGTGCCTTTGATAAGGTAGGGGTTCCATCCACCGTTACCAAACGCATGGCTTCAAAGATCTTTGCCATCTGCGCAAGACTAGGGCTGGTTCTTACAGGAGACATATCTACAACTGCTAACTTCTCGACATATTGTGGAAAATTTAAAGCAGTGTACATCATGGCTGAGCCACCCATACTATGGCCGACTAAAACAGCTCTTTCCAAGCCCAGATCTGTCAGAAGTTGAATAACATCCTCCGCCATATCCTTGTACGACATGTTCGATGAATGTGGAGAGTCACCATGATTTCTGGCATCCACTGCTATGACCTATGCATTTATTTCCTTCTTAAGCTGAACATAAAATTACTTTCATAGTTATTGATATAAGTTAGAGGACATAAATGTTGAAGGAAAAATATTAATCCATCTATTTTAATCTGGATGTTAATTACTTTGTAAGTTACAGAAGTAATTACCTTGCGCTTGGTTTTTTGATGAATTGCTTTTGACAATGAGTTCCAGTTGTTTTTAGAGCCAAAGAGGCCATGCATTATCATAATGGGCTGCTTTGCATCTTGCTCAGTCCCATTTACTGATTCATATGAAGCATAGGCAAGTTTTACTGGCACGTTTCTTGAAAAACAACGAAACGAACAGGTTAAGGAGAAAAAAAACACGAGTTAGAATTAAACATAAATTTAAACAAACACTTACGATAAGATATTACTACGCAAACATTGATAGCAGGATGAATGCAAATTTTTAGCCGCATAAGGCAAACCGGCAAAATTTCTCCATCGACGAAACTCCGATAAATTTCGACTTATCATTATTGATCCTGAATTAGTTACACTTCTAAATTTTTAATCTTTATCTGACAAGGATTTTGGACTGCTGCATAATTGCTATTTTATCAGCCTAAACATACTTCATAGTTTCAGATATTTACAAAAATTGTCCTCTCCTATACTTCTCTATTTTGGCAGTTTATGATCTATTACGTGTGTACATACATACACATATATGGAATATATTCTTTATAGCCAGTACACATTGTTGCGACAAGGCGAAGGATGCAAAAGCGATTATTTATATTATAGGTTTACCCTTCTACATTTACTGTACAATCGATGGTGAATTGCATACGTGGCGCTGTGGTAGCAACATGCCGCTGTGAAGTGGCAAGTGATTGACGAGAGAAGCATATGTAGTTTTTATGGTTGTACAATAAAATTTGGTAGAGAAAATGAGGTGGCTCATCTCGTACGTGTTCCTTATTGTCTCCATCGCCAGCGCACATTGCTACTTTATCACCGTAGATGCGCATGCTGAGGAATGTTTCTTTGACAAAGTCGAATTTGGCACCAAGATGGGTTAGTTTCCACTCCCTTAATTTCTCTATTATTTGTAAAGAAATTTAAATGATTTACGTTGAGTATAAATAATAGCGTTGAGGTATCATTTGTATATCATTTTTGTGCAATTTACTTCATGTTAATTTTCATAAAAAATTGTTATCTTGTTGATTTATCTATTTTTGTTCAACATATTTTTCTTTACATATGATATCAATGAGTCAGATTAATTTTTATTCATAAAAAATAATGTTAAAGTGTATAAAGTGTATTATTTTATTCTATTTTACAAATTTACTTATTCAAGAAATTTGATGAGATTTAGCAGTTATTATAAAAGTATTTGCAATAATAATATGTCAATGCTTGTTTTTATTTGAAAAAAAAAAAAATTTAGTTAATGTGTAAGTAATGTGTAACTAATTTTACATGTAATTTCTACAGGCCTCACATTTGAGATAGCAGAGGGTGGATTTTTAGATATAGATGTAAAGATAATAGGACCTGATGGTAGAATGATCTACCAAGGTGAGCAAGAGAGCAGTGGAAAATATACCTTTGCTGCGCACACGTCTGGTGTTTATACCTATTGCTTTAGCAATCAGAAAAGCACAATGACACCAAAAGTAGTAATGTTCAATATGGACATTGATGAAAATCGCAAGCAGACTGATGAACACGGCGGAGAAGGTCAAGATGGGGACAGCAGTCATGGAAAATTAGATGATATGATTAAAGATTTGAGCACCAGTTTGTGGGTGTAAAGAATGAGCAAGAGTACATGCAGGTACTTTGCGAAGAAGCAATTTGATTCTATTATATAGAATTTTTCTTTTTTTATCGTTAATTTATGAGCAATGACTTATGGGATTTCTTGTGAATTTCAGGTTCGCGACCGCAATCATAGAGCGATCAACGAGAGTACAAATTTCCGAGTTGTAGTGTGGGCGTTTTTCGAAGCTATGGTGCTGGTTTGCGTAACGATAGGGCAAATCTTTTACTTGAAGCGATTCTTTGAAGTACGAAGAATCGTGTAATATAGGATATTTAATGATACATTTCATGAATAAATTGTACATTTTTCTAATTTGTAATTAAATTATATCTCTCATTGCGACAAGTCATTTCTGTGGTAAGGACGGTCTCCAGTCTGTTGAACCCCAGCCGAATCAAACTGTACATCACTAGTATTAAGCGAAGGTATTTCCTATATCTGTAAGATTTCTAATAAATAATTTGTAACGGGACAAGATATTTAATCGAGCAGGACGCGTAGTTGTAAATGTCTCTGTAATGACAAATATCGAGTAAAAACTTATATCTGTAACGAGAAGAAATATGCATCTTTCTGTATATCAATGATCTATTTAGTCAAATCAGATCTGATTTTGTAGTTATCTTTTTATTCATTTTTCTATGAGTAAAACAAATGTGGATATAGTCTGCTGTTAAAAAATTTATTTTTACACAGAATAAATAAATTCGTTACGTTTTATGTACTTGGTTAACAAGGCTTAATTGATAAGAAACACCTGGCGATAATAGAGAATTAAGACGATTTCTCCCGAGAGGAAGAAAAATGCACGAGGAACGTGATAACGATCAGACGGAGTCTAAAGTTTTTCTCAATGGCGACGTTTCGAGGCATAAAAGCCTTCGATTAATGTTACCCCATTGAGCGGTGGTCGAGAAAAGGGAACAGAATCCACTGCAATTAAGGTGATCGATCGCGCGTGTCGCTTTGATTGGGGGGACGGTAAAAGGGATAGATTAATCGATGGCGATTACCGTATCACTGCGCGCGGATAAATGCACTTAATGAGTATCTCGACGAATTTACATCGTAGCGACGGGCAACGCAGCATATTATTGAAGAGTTACGGCATTCTGTGAAAAATGCGACACGTAGAAAACATAACGCTGTTTGGCATCGTACGCGTGCATCTTCTTTAATAACGTGACAAACTATATCGATTACGTTGACGCGAGTACGTAATCGGAAATAACACTGATTCGGGATCGATGGGGGGGGGGGAATTGTGAGATTCGTCGGATAGCCCCGGCGGCGTTGCGGAGGGGTCGCGCGGTTCTGGAAGAAGCCGCTGTTAATTAAGGAGAGCGATTGCACGTAACGGTATAATTAAAGGGAAGAAGGAATCAAAGCGCCGGCCGGTGCGCGCCGATGAATAATCCGTATCTCTTCATCGCCGACTCTAACAAGCAGGGGATTATAAATGGAGGATGTTTATCGTCGCGCGTAAAATGCCGATTACAGACAAAGGCCTTATACTCTCACACCGCGCGTTTAGCGCTAAAACACTCCTCCGATTTCTATCGCGCATTCATGCCGAACGCGATCTTTGTGTCAAATAGCAGAATGATTATAGAAGATTACATTTGAGATTAAATACGCAACGCTCTGAATTCGAAGAAATAATTGAAAAGTCAAAGATTTTGAAAGCAAATGTCTTTCCGGGAATGTAAAAACATTGGGGAAAATTTAGAAGTGAAAAACCTGAGGTTTTGTGCGTTGTAAAGTGAAAGAACACAATTCTGACCGGTTCTCGAGAAAAGTTTGACTTGTATATCTGACCCATCGATCCATCTGGTTTGTTTATTTAGGAAAAAAGGGAAAGTATGTTTCTTATTTTTCGTATTTGTTTATCTCATCTATTTTTCACTAATATGTCTGAAATCTTTGACTCGTATACTAATTCATGTTATCGCATATTGGTCGTTCAAATGCTTCGAACATTCATCCCCGTTTATTTATGCAATATTAATTCCGCTTAGTTCTAGGGGGAAACCTTGCGACTTTGGGGTATGTCATCTTGTTGCACGAGTGCCAGACCCGACGGATATGCGAAGGATTAATTGGCGGGTCCGATCGCGCGCGCCGTTGCCCCTCGCGTTGCCGCCCCCTTCCTTCACGCAGCGATCCCTTCGAAGGGGTTGCACGCCACGCCGGATTCTGCGTGGCACGGCGAGCGGCGAAAGAAGAAAAAAAAGGAAGCGCAGAGAGGAGGAACGAAAGAAAGGAGCTGCTAATTGACACGGGCGATTGCACGTAACGGTATAATTAGAGAAAAGAATACGGAGAGAGAAGCCCGGGCCGGTGCACCGATGAAACCAATGAACCAGCCACCGCGCGGCGTGGAGGGAAAGCTGCGAGAGAAGGAGGGACGGAGTGCGTGCCGGGGCGACGGAAGAGAGACGGAAGGCTAGGAAAGGAAGGCAGAAAAGCAGCAGGGGAGAGAAGCAGCCGGCGGCGGCTTTCGTGCGACCATCAAGGGGTTCCCTCTCCAGAGAAAGAGCCGCAGGCCTGTGGCGAAAGAGAGAGAGAGAGAAACGAGAACGAGAGAGGCATTGGTCGGAGAGACAGAGAGGAAGAGAAGGGGTACGCGAAAGGTAGAGGGAGCGGGCACGGCTGCGAGAAAGAGAGATAGAAGAGGGGGGGAGGAGCGGGAGGGAGAGCAAAAAGAGAGGGACCATGGGCTCGTGGACCCTGCCGCGATCATTCTGTACCAGCACGCCGCGCCGATCGGCAGATTCACGGAGTTTCCCCAGTGACCCCCCCCCTGATAACACCACGAGGAGCGGCCGTTCTCCAACGAGGTCACTTCCGCGTCCTCCGCGAAGAAGAGGTCCCGTCCCGGCGCTCCTTCCGATTCAGCACCCTCCGTTCGTTCCGCCTCACCGCAAAGATGCGAGTCGTAACCCGCAACGACAGGACGCTGCAGGACGAAACTCGGCAGGAAGTGCCTCGGTGAAAGGTGCCGTGAGAGTTTGTTGTCCCTTTTTTCTCCTTTCGGGAGCTCTATCCCGCCGGGACCAGACTGCTTTATCCTGGGCTGCGTGCCGACGCCAGGCAAACAGACTTGCCGGATCCCTAATTGAGGTGCGTCGTTTGTTCCCCGAAGAAAATTGTGGCCATCTGGAAGAAACATTAATCTTGAATCTTCTCGAATCTTATCGAATCTTTTCCGATGAATTTTGTCAAAACGATTTGTCGTCGAAAGAAAAGCGACAATCTCGCCGCAGCTTAAGAAAGTTCGAAAGAAACTTGCGCTGCGGAGAACCGATCGTTCGAGCGCGCCGAAGAGAACTTTTGCGTATGAAAACGAGCGATGTATCTCAGCTCGCTTTCATCTCGGGCGTTCGATTGGAAGACAGATTCCTGAATAAAACACGAAGGACACGCACAGGCGTATCTGCACATTTGCATTTTCTAATAAAATTTCTAAGTTCAACGTCAACATAATTAACGCGTCGCATTAAACAAAGATCAGACGCGCGAGATTGCGCGAATGAGCATCCTTTGGGAATTAACAGCGGGATTTCGCAGCTAGTTGCCCGATCGGCGGCAGCTCGTCGACGAGCACGGCGGAAATTATTCCGTCAAGATCGCAATCGCGCAGGCAAGCAGCCTCGGCCCAGGCCGATCAGGTTTCGCCCCGCGAGAAAAGAAATCTCTCGCTCCTCCGGCGCGCGTTCTCCGCCGCGCCGGGTGCTCGGCGAGGCCGAGAGTAGTGCTCGCCTCGGTCCTCGATCCCTGATCCTCGCGCGTACGAGAGGGCTAATTATGCCGTGCCGGTGGGTGTTATGGACCGCAAAATGAGACGTGAGACGGCGCGTCGCGTCGCGCGGAGAAGAAGAGGAACGTTTTCGCCCGCAGAACTGTTAGCAGAAAGGACGCGAATCTGTCGCTGGAATTTTCGATAAAGAGAGGACAGCAGATCGACTTACATTGTTATCGGTATTTGCGGTCGAAGACGCCAGCGAGAACGTTACGGAGTCAGTCTGCCGTGAGCCGAGCTGGAGCGCAATTATTTCTTACACTTAACGACCGCAGCTCGTTCCGTTCCGGTGAGTAATTATTCAATTAAACGGCAAGAGGGTCATCTCAGCGTTTAGTATAATTGATAATTCGTCGTGTACTTTCCCGTTATCGATTCATAGATCCTGAAAATTTACACACCTTACAGATATATCACATGGATTATTCTAGATTCATTGCAATTGCTTTCAACAATTTGGAAATTATTTTCTCGTGACAATTAATTGCGCTTAACAATACATATCATAATTTTAGTAGCGATAAATTTGCTTAAACACAAATCGAAACGCTATAATCAATGCGATATTAATAATTTCCAAAATGCAGCAATTAAAAATGATGAAAAAAAAAATATCTACGGAAAATATAAGAAAACGTTGTCACGATAAAGATATTAAACGATCGCACAATCAGGATCAGCCGTTTATCTTCGATGAAAGTTACGGATAATTTTTATCTCTACTTTTATCGCGAGCTTGGCGTGACGTTAATTCAATCCCGTCTTGAAGCAAATTCTAACAAAGTTCTCTCGTTGAAGAAACGGCGTTTGCGGACATTTGCGTGCGCGAGATCGCGTTTGTCAATTGTTGTAACAGGATCTCGTTAGCGTGCAATCGAATATAATGTACGGTGGCGGTGCTGGATAAAAGCTCGATCTGATCGAGATAAGCTTTCATCGGACGCGATCGCTCTCGCCCGCACTGCGCGATTCACATAGGATCGTGACCTGGGCACGATTAAGGATGCTTAAGCCTTTCACTTTCCAATCATTGTTCGCGAGAGCATCCGCCGTTTCTAAATTTCAAGTAGCGTGAGATAATTTTTCGATACATCAAATCTTTCCGCCAAATGCCTCGACATCATTTTGTCCTGACGCTTGCGCTCTCTTTCTCTCTGTAAAATGATATATGAGTACACCAGACACGCACGAAGATGCCAAGATGGATAACATATGCTACATTGAAAGAGTTAAAGTAATTCCTTAAGTATCTGGCGTCATGTTACAATGCAAGACGTATTCAATAATATAAAACGTGGAAATTTGGTTACATTATTTCTGGAAGAATGATTGATATTATAGTGCGATATAATTCGGATATCCAAAAGTCTTAGTGAAATTCATGAGGTCTTTTAAAATCACTGGATATACGATAATTTAAAGAAAAAACATCTTTCAAACATGCATTTGCAGTTCTTTTTCGCCCACATAACCGAGTGTCCCATTCGATTCCAAGCGAATGCACTTGCGCTGGCTTATGCGCGGTGCATAACTTGTGTCCCTTCTAGAAAAAAGGCACGAATCCTTGAATATATGTTGCCGCTGTACCGTAAGCAGTCCGCAGAATCGATTTCAGATGCCAAACCTAGCGCTGAGCCGAGGATTTCCGTTCGATAATCGCTGAACCGGCAATGATTTAGCGATGTCTCGGCAGATTAATAGACAAGCCCCCTCTTTTAACGGCTCGCCGCGACTCGCCCGGAGTTCATCTCGCAAATGACCATTCCGTTATGCCCCGACTTTGCTCCACTTCGCGAGCGTCACGAACAATGGGCGCGTTCCGCGAGGCGTCATTGATCACTTCCGTGGACCGTAGAAATTATCTCTCGCGGGATATAAATTTTCATGCAACTAGTGTGCGTTAATAAGACTAATGACATCTTTATTGGTCATGCACAGCGCTACTAAATTCCGAAATAATAAATTTACGTATGCACATCAAACGTTTCGATCTCGACTTTGGATTCTTATCAATAATAGATAAAAATATGTACGTTATTCTATATTAATAAAATTAATTTGCAAAATAACACAAAGTGTTAACTCACATGAGAAACACAAGTAAGAATTATTTTTATAATAAATAACAGGAGTCAAAAAATCTATAAAAAGAACCAGTGATTTTAAAAGATTTTATATATAAATACTAAGATTTTCTGATATCATTCGAAGTTTATCGCTCAAATTTAATGAGATTAAATTGGGATTAAACTTCCGTGTTATACGTTTGTCAGGAAATATTCTTAAAATAATACAAATTTTCCTTCTCTCTTTCTTTCGCCATAAAATTGTCATAAAAATATCCGTATATCTTCAGTCAATCGGAAAACTCAAACGGTTGCGGGAAAATGAGAAATTTAATCCCGCAGTCTCGAGATTGTTGTGTTTAATGACGGCGCAGTCGTTATCCAGTGAATAATAATCGCGTTGCAATGTGGCCGTCGCGCCATTCCCTCGCCTTTTAAACGAGGTGAAAAGCCCATTTTAAAACAGTCGCGTTTTACGATCGCGCGCCATTAGCCACACCGCGGAAATATTCGACGAGTGAAATATTTTACGCGATGCATCACGCGCGAACGCGCGTTTTGCATAGAAATCCGCGACGCCGGGACCGGTACGCGACGAGCATTGAACCCGGGGCCCCGAGGTGTAATCACCGGGGAATCATTTCTAGATCGTTTAGGGAGACGCGAGAGACGCGCGGGATAATGACGGCTCGCGGATCCGGACTTCTTAATGCGGCATGATCGACACAATGAGGCCAGGTACTCCCATTACCTTAGATCGGACCAGTTGCGATTATCCTGGATGATTACTCGACAGCACGCAAAAAAAGATTTCCCGCCGACGGTTATGCGATCCTGCGCGGAGACAATTCCGACTTTCTTCCGCAATCGTTTCTGAAGCCACATTTCTAAGTGGATTTTATACATCTTCTTGTCGATCAAGAAAGCTCTGTAAATAAAACATTTTATGTATAGAATCGATACATTACAGAAAGTTTATAAATTTTCATACTATCAGTAATGACGTTACGATTCAAAAACAAGTTATAAAAAATTTTTAAAAGATTTTTTTTTAATTCATTAATTGAATTAAGAATACTAATCCAATTTTTTGTTATCTGTGGTTAAGAATCGAAATGATTGCGGTTTAACTAAAATTCTTTATATTTTATAACTTTTAATGATTTCACGCGTAAAAATTCGGTATCGAACATTCCAAGTCTACGATCGCGTCAATTTAAAGCTCGTAAGTTTAAGACGCGTCGCGTTTGCCGATTAAATTTGTAGTAACAATTTACTCGAGAAGCTACGACGTCGTTTCTCTGATACTTCCCAATTAAAAGTCAGTTCTCCCGGGATAAATTAGTGCTGCTGAATGTTAATAAGGCGCCTTCACGAAAGCGTCATAAAAGTTATGAGTTACGATTGGACGGAGCACCGGAGTACCTACGCATGTACAGTGAGTGTAATCAACGATTACAATGTCCGACGTGCGTTTCTTTTGTGTTCCTTTTACGTTCTTGTTAAAAAGAGCTCTCTCTCCTTCTTGATGGCACGTAATTACTCTTCGGCGTCGCTGTAATCCTTTACAGAACTCTCCGCTCAGCTTGATCATTTTCGCTCATTTGATCGGGTGGGTTTTATCAAATATTCCGCAAAGCGTCACGTCCTCAAATATTTTTTATCAAATACTCCGTAACGCCACTTCTGCCGGAGAAATTTTAACAATTAGCGATGTAATCTGCCGCAGAAAAATCTTTTTCTTCGGGGGGAAAAAAAACAATATTTTAGAAACATTCTTGATCAAAGTTTTTATAAAATCGCAATATTAAATTCAATCAGTATTAAATTGATGAATAAATTTGAAAACCTTACATTGTGTAAAACCTGCCAGTGTTAATTTCAATCGTGTTGAAAGGCAGAGTATTTTTTTGTTAAACACTCCGTGTTTACGAAGTTGACTGGCTTTTTTTTTCCCTTAGTTCCACTGAATTGTCTTCTAGCAAGTCGTATCCTCTTGCAGGCCGTATTGACAATCGTCAACCGGTCTCACTGTACTCGCGTTCCCCGTGCTCTCCCCGCGTCCAGCTTCGAATCTCCCGTCTTCTCTGCTTTTCTCCGGCCTTCTTCTTTCTCGCGTCTCGCTTCTTTCTCTCTTTCGCCGTTTGCGATGCCTCTTCTGCGCCCTACGGCCGTCTTTTCTCTCTCTCTCTCTTTCTCTCCCCCTGTCCTTCCTCTCGCCGCTCTCTCGGCCTCGTGGGCAGGCTCTCGTTTTCTTCTGCGTATGTGCACCTCGAGTGTGTGTACACCGTCCTTAGCTTCCAGCTTCGTTAAGAGGGCTCGAGTCCTCATCTTGGCGCTCTTCGTGAAAATCTAGGGCCGATTCCCTCTCTGGAATCGCTCGACGCGACTCTCGAACGCTCTCTCGGCCCGCTGTTTTATCTAGTAAATACAATTAACGATCTACCCGTATCGACCACTCTAATCCGCCTTCGCGCATTTAAGATTCTCTACGCAAATTTTGCTCTTTGTCTCTCCTCTTGTACTTCCCTGCACTCTAGCACCGTGATCTGCATCGCAAATTAGCGTCTTATCTACTCTGTCATCGTTTTAAGAAACTTGGATAGATATGCTAAGCTGTGCAATAAACAGATGTACAATAAACAAAGCAAGTTCACAATTTATAAAATACATACTTTCAGCATAAATTTAAATTTTTAATTAGAAAAAAAATTTTATCTTGCGAAAGATTGTAAAAATTTAATTTTTTTTATCAAACACTAATCTAACATCTCGAGATTTCGTGGAATAAAAGTCGAATCGTTGATTCTCGAGGATAAATTTTGCATTCTTATCAGTTTCCTTCAACATGCCAGTTCTTTCAACCAACGCTCTTATTTTTGTGCATGTTAACGGCGAGAGTAAATCATCGCTCTGAACGTTATGAAATCTAACATTTAATCACCTCCGCGCATTATGATCGCATTTTACGATTCGGCAGCTAGTACTCCACCGGCTCCCGTGTCGTTGGGATTATGCAAGCGCGGGTACTCGAGTAGTCGAGCGAAGTGCATCGTTATGCACATGCACCTTAGATACATATATATCTCTCTCACTTTACCAAGCTCATTATAACTACGCGCGTGCATGACTGTGAGATGCTGCCGTACAGAATCGGCAATCTCGGCTCATTCCGTAATAGACGCAGCGGCGCTTATTGCACTCTACATTGCCCGGGCACGTCTTGTTCAGCGCGAGCCAGCGAGATACTTTATCGTTGATAATTCGTGCCCAATCCACGACGCAGGAGGGGTGGACGGCGTATGCCGGAGCGCGCCGTTTACATTCCCGCCGTGATCACAAATGCATTTTATACACCGGCTAATATCGCCGGGGCGATCGCGTGGGCTTAGATAAACGGCAATATACTACATAAACACGCGCGTGTACGTGTGTATACCAGTTCCGCGGGCAGGGACGTAGTTAGCTACTGTCTTCTACAATATTATTTAGTTCACAGGAATACGGAGAGCCGTCATCACTCATTTTCTCGTTGCGTCAGAGAGAAAAAACGGCGGAGATCAAGGATCGGAAATTGCTGAGAGAAAAATTCTTAAATTAGAATTTAAAAATTACTCGACGAATCATTTACATCACTGATGAACCTTTTTTTTTTTTGCTCTTCCTGTGCACCGTTAGATTAAAGAGTCACGCTTGGGTCACGTCTATCGGATTTATTTGACGTTATTTACCGTGTGGTCGTGGCACTTGACGTTAACGAAAGTTGAAGTGCCTCGTCTATGAGCTTCGCGCTAAGGGCTTCGCGCGCTTCGGCTACATCACTGTTCCCGTGGGTAGCGAGAGAGCCCGGCTTCGCCACGGGCTGGCCTCGGAACGGAAAGACACCCGAGCGTCCAGGACGATTATGGTACATCGGCTTAACATTACACCTTGCGAGCGCCCGGACACGGCGCCCGCCGATTCGCTCCGCGCTTCTCACGTTGCACAAACTGTTGATACGAGCGGCGTTGAGTTACGATTTCGCAAAGTCTATAGTTTACCCTCGTTGTCCGTGTCACACACTGTTGCGCCTTTAATTGAACACGCAGCCCTGCCCCTGTCTGGAAGAGATGCTCGATCGTCGTCTATCCGAGACTGCAAGTTTCCTCTCCGTCGAGATATCCTTGTGTATATTTACTGAAAAGATCAAGGGCGAATATGAAATATTTACTTCCGATTCTGTATCTAAATGAGCGAACTAATACCTTAATACGCTAATTAAGTTAATAAGTGGATTATATTAATCCAATTGCGGATGCAGACGTCTTATGATTTTCTTGCCACTTGAAATCTGAAAACTGGTACGCGCAGATTCTTATCTCATAATTTTCTTGCAATTAATTTATTAACTCGTCTAAAGAGACAAGTTTTTTTTTTCAATTACTCCGGCAACGACTGAGATTTAGAAAATTAAATTTTGTTATACACTTTATATTATTAAATCTTAAGTTTCGAAATTTTCTTAATCGTTATGCCGAATACGTGATCTGAGTGTTCGTAGTTTTCCGATTTCCAAGCTGAGCGAAAAAGTTGCGCCGAGCACGACGTTTAATTAAACCGTGATTTTTCCACTTTCGTGCGGGTTGCGGTCGTGATGCATCGATTTGGCCTTGATTTCACCGTCGTGGTCGCCGCATCTTTTTCGCCGTTAAACTCGATTTACAGTCCACGCTGCGGTGGTCTTCCTAATGAAGCAATTAATACGCGCGCGCGCGCTCTGTTACGCGAGCGCACGCTCCGCAAGTACTTGCAACGAAATTGCCAATTCTACTAATGTTTTTGCAGGGGGAAAAATGACGATACGCAGCAATGGTCTGGTCGTGATTCTGCGATCGTTGCTGGTCGCCGCTGCCGCCTCAACGGTACCCGGGACCTGGATGTGAGTATCTTTCGCGCCACTTGCGGCGATTTTTTTTCCAATTGTGCGTTAAAGGTGTTAACCGGTTTCAAGCGCGTATTTATAGTTAGACGGGACGCGACTATTTTTTTCATTAGACTCGCACGACTCTTAAAATAAGCCGACGTCGAAGGACAGAGGGTGCCCTACATATCGACGATCAAAGGATGAAGTAACGCCGACGAGGTGTTCTAATTAACGGTGCAAGTCCCATTTCACCGAACTTTCAATTATCCGAACACCGTAATCTGATACATTAGCTCGGATGATTGCGATTCTATAAACCTGAAATATTAAAAAAAAAAAAAAAAAAAACAAGTTAATAAATTTGTAATTAAATCAATTCGTTGAATTTGCGAAAGAGTGCATTTTTCTGAAAGTTTCATGTTTATTTTTAGATTTCTCGTTAATAAGGAGAGATATAATGAAATTTGATTGAAGCCATTCCCACCAAGGCTGTACGAATCAAAAACGCTGTTTTATGCCTGTGTAATTACCTTCTTTTACATCCCGTCCTCGATTATACGTCCATTACAGCGTATCATCTCGCGATCTTTTCATCAACAACTTCCGCGCGGTATCGGCCGATCGGCGCGATTAAATTAATAACGTTGTTAATAACATTCCACGGAGACGGATCGGGCGTGATTTTTCAAACGTTTCCTGATTTATAGACCTTTGTTCCGCGGCATCGTGGGAATCCGGGGCGCGGAATTCTTCGTGCTCCCGAAAACCACATCGTCTGGTCTCCCCATCGGGTCGACGCCCCAAATTCGGCTGAAACTGTGTCTAATCTCTGAATTGCTATTCTCGCCCCTTGTGTTCTACCCTGCGTGAGCATGACCAATCACTGAATGGTCTCGGACGCCCGCGCTCTTTTGTGAACCGCCCGGATTTCAACGGACGCGTCTAATTCACCTCCGTGTCCAATCCTGCAAGAAAATCCTCGCTTATCCCGCTGCTTTTTCCATCAAAACCGCTCATAAGCCTCTTTGAATTCCCTCCAGCTTTCGAGCACGCCATTCATAATATATACCTTGTCGAAAAAAAAAAAGAGAAAGTAGTACATGTAATTACATTAATATTCCCACAATTCGGTGAAAATACTACAAGTTTTTTTATCGCTTTTTAATCGACCGTCACAGATTAATTCAGAACGGACACTGTACCGTTCAGCTCTTTTTTTTTTATCGCGTGCATAATTTATGTCACATTACGCAGCTGGGATCTTTCGTAACGATATTTTAACCTGACCGCAGTTGATCGCCTCGGGACACCCCGTACATAAGCGGACGCCGCTGTGGATGTAGCTGCAATCTCTTAGGAGACACCAGGCATTATTTTTCGGACCCGCTCCGCGGCCCACGACGCCGACGACGGTGCCCCGCGCGAACGCCGCGTGGGCCGTGCCCCGTCGAAATATTATCGCTTTTCTCCCCTCCCCCTTTCTCGTTTCCCCCTTCGGTTCGCGATTGTCCGCGCCATTGTTTTAGGGGAGTATAAAGCCGATGATATATCGCCGTCGGAGCGTGTTCCAGAATATTAATGTCGTCTATTACACACTCCCTAGAGTCACTCGCGCGGGCTTTTACGACTCCACGCTCGATCACGGTAATACTTAGGAACGTAGGATGCTTACGATACCTCGGTAGAACGGGAAATATCGGGACTCTGATACCGGCGATAGAGTATCCAAACGACGAGCGCTTCTTTTATCGCCACAAAACAATGTAAATTCGTAGAATGTACAGAAGATTTATGTTTGTCCACTTTTTCCAGTCAACACATTCCCTATGCAATAAGATTTAACTGATTTATTACATTAAAAATAATAGTGAACAATACTTTGGATAAAGTTTACTCGGTTTTTGAAATAAAAATTTTAGATAATTGAAAGTTAAAGAAAAATTAACTTACAATGAATTCAACGGTTTCCAACTACTGCTCTTTAGAAATTCCCAAGTAATGCACGCCATTGATACATCTCAGACGAGCGCGTCGCATTGCCGACAACCCCGTCGAGTATTCACCTGAGTCACGCTCGGGCAGGTCGTCCAGGTTGCACCGAGTCGCCTTACAGGTTGTCGCGGCTTTACTGCGTAAATCGTGGCCAGGCGAACACGATTGAAAGACCGTGGTTTATTCCCGACGATAGAAATTGCGGGATATAATATTGAAGAATTAATTTTTTTAAACACTGCACTGCGTGTAAAACTTGTCAATCTGGAAGAAGAAAAATATTTTATTTAGTTGTATATTATTGTAATTTAATATTTTTATATCATCGTTACTTTAAACATCTCCGCCGCTTTCGATGATATAAAAGCGATGTGAAGAACAGTCGTCTATTTTGTTGAAAATTTTTAAGTAAAATAAAATTAAAATTTTGCTGCGTATAATATAAGATATATTTATATAATTTATATTTCATATTATATATATATTTGTTATTCGTTGTTAGTTAACGAATAGCTTATCCCCGGTAGAGAGAAAGAGAAACCGAGATCGTTTAAATTCTTAGACCGAAATACTACCGATCGCTGGCAATTTCTCGGGGATTTTTCTCGGCGAACGAGACCTTGCGGGAAAATAAACGTACGGGAATAAACGTGATTTGCGATGCGGAGAATAGTGTGCGAGAGCGCAAACATTATTGAAACCTTTGCTCGCGACGGTCGCTCGTTTCGAATTTCAGATTGGCGGGCCCTTCCCGGCTCTTCTGTCTTTGACGGTGCCGTTCCATCATCTCGCTCGGTTGACTCACAAATGCGCCATTAACGTTCCCGACGGAGGAAATGCGAGGGCTATTCCGCGCCCACGGATACGGGCCGCTCTGAACCGAATTTATATAATCGGTGTGACAAATCTCTAGGAGTTAGGGGCTACATCGACGTGGAATCGGCGCGCGACATCATTTTCGATCGATCGCGTTTACGTAGTGTCGGGATTGGGCCGTAATAAAATTACAATCGACCTGAATATTTTCTTTTAAGATTTCTGTTTTTTTCCACTGCCTTGAATGACTGAATTATTAAAAACGGAAAATCATGTGGAGTATTTTCTTGCGATGTATGTCGCAAATAGATTAATCCTCTTGTATCATTTTATATTATTTATTTTATTATTTTTCATTAGTAAGTGCGATTCAATTTGTATATGTTTCACGTTTTCAGCTTTAAGAAAATCAATCAAAATGGCTCAGCTGTTTGATAATTTAAGAACCTAAAAACAATTGTATTGCAATCTGTACTGTTGAAAAAAGATTAATTTATTCCGACGTACAATCATCTCTCACTTTTGATATCGCAATTCAATATATCTGCAATGAGAGGCCTTAAAAAAATGGGGAAAAAAATTAAATCCGTTTTTTATGTGATAAGAGATTTTTGATAGTTACTTTATATGCGTGACAGAAACCTGGGTCTACGACACTTCCCGCAACTGGAATCGGCGCAGTCGATGGAGGCGTACGACGCGAGTGCCTCTGCGATCTGCGTCGGTCTGAAGGGCCTGTCCCAGGGCCAGGGAAAGCTTTGCCAGCTATCCGTGGACCACATGTCCAGCGTGGCCAAAGGCGCGAAATACGGCGTCACGGAGTGTCAGCATCAGTTCCGCGACCGAAGGTGGAACTGCTCCACCGTTCACGATGAGACCGTGTTCGGGCCGATGCTTAGAATAGGTACTTGATTTCCTTGAGTCGTTTGATCCTCGGGAATGTGTGGCGTTTTGTGGCTAAACAATGCGGTTTCAATTGGGACGATGTTCGTCAAACGCATTGTGCAAAACTGTCTGTTGCAGCAAGCAGAGAAACCGCGTTCGTTCACGCGATCACCGCCGCCGGTGTGGTCTACTCCGTCAGTCGTTCCTGCCGGGACGGCCAGCTGTCGTCGTGCGGCTGTGCGAGGAACAACAGACCCGCGGATCTGGACCGCGACTGGATCTGGGGCGGATGCGGAGATAATCTCGAGTACGGCTACAAGTAAGTGCACTCCGTTTCGAAGATTCGCGCTCAGCCCGCGTCTCGTCCTGTAAAAACCGGTAGCAATTGATGATTCGAAAGAAAACAGGTACATTCACTTTTCTGCGAACGTTACTGGGGAGACTGGTTTGTTATGTGTGTTGTACGTGTTTCATATGTTTTGTTCTTTTCGAGACTTTCATCGACAGCATTTTACGGTAGACTAGCCAGCTCTCAATATTCAATAAACGCAATCAATGTAAGGGCCAATATCTTTTTAAATGACTATTATTATCATATATTTTGCAATTGTATAATTAAATATTTAATTATTATTTTGTTAATTTTATCATTAATTGTATTGTATGAATTATTTTGATATTCGGCAATTTCTATCTTTTTATCATCAACATGTTATGACAAGATTCATTTTTCACATATTACGGAATGATGTCGAGGTCAACAATAAACGTGCTGTTGTCCGCATGTTTCAGATTTACGCAGGCGTTCGTCGATGTACGGGAGCGCGAGCGCAAATTCAAGAAAGGTACTCGGGAGCAGGCCAGAAGTCTCATGAATCTTCACAACAATGAGGCTGGTCGCAGGGTAAAGTTCGTTCTTTTTTTAGCCTGCGCATGAGAAATGTCTCTTTAAATGTCGCAAACGTTAAACAGGCGAAGGCGCATATATCGATTTTTCGACATTTAACATGAATTCGTGCTAAACTAAGCTGCCGCGCGGTCACGAAACTAATGCGCCGCCCATTCATTCTCCCGCAGGCTGTCATCAAAAGGTCCAAGGTAACGTGCAAATGTCACGGCGTTTCCGGAAGCTGCAGCCTGATTACTTGCTGGCAGCAGCTCGTATCGTTTCGTGAAGTTGGTAAGTCGTGATGCGGTTTTAACGTTTCTCATGTAAACAAAATATCTGAAAAAATCTTTTAAGTGACTTTTACAACTTTTACGATCATTATCGTTGCAAATATCTAACAATACTATTTTTTTTTTTTACATTTTCAGGTGATTTTCTATTAGACAAGTACGACGGTGCGACCGAGGTGAAGGTGAATCGGCGAGGCCGATTGACTATACGCGACCCGAGATTCTCCGTGCCTACCTCAAGTGATCTGGTTTACCTGGACGATTCGCCCAACTACTGCTTTCCGAACGATACTCTTGGATCGCTAGGTAACTCTATCTCTCTCGGGGATGATGTATTCTTTATCAAATCTCCTTGTTTATCCTGATTAGATTATCCTAGTTCCTAGTTCGTTACATCATTCATGTCGATTACGGAAAATTGTTTTGTAATAGGTACACAGGGCAGATTATGCAACAGGACCTCATCCGGCATGGACGGTTGCAATCTTCTCTGTTGCGGTAGAGGATACAATACACAAAAGTCGACCGTCAAGGAGAGATGCGAGTGCAAGTTCCACTGGTGTTGCTTCGTCGAGTGCAAAACCTGTGTGAAAAATATCGATATTCACACTTGCAAGTAGAATGTTAGTATTTATTATTTTTTTATACTTCCCTTTTTGATTTTTATTCTCGCGCCTTATCGAAGGTATACATATATAAGATTAACAGTACGTCATATTCTCTAATACGTGAAATATTCATTACTATTTCATAGGTAATGAATTTTGACTGACAAAAAGGTCATCGTACTTTCTTTAATAATTACGAGCGGTAATTAATATGTCTTTCTTCTGCGGATGTTTGCGCGTGTATGTGAGTCTGGATGTCCATGCAATATTATTACTGTAATAAGTTTCCAGTGCAAAAGGCATATTCTCTCTGATAATATTAGATATTATTTATATTCCATAAAAAAATTGTCTTGTCGTAAATTATTTGCGGCCTACAAAAAAAAAACATAAATCAAAGAATTTTTAACTGTGTGTTCGTAGAACTTAAGTGTTTTCTAAATAATCTATAATTAATCTAACGTGATTTTTCTTAATGGAAGAGGATTTTTCTCAATGAGAGAAAATTTTTATATCACATTACATAAATGACCATGTATAATTAATTAAACAACTTTTGGTGTATAAAACTTATTGATAGCGCGTCGAAGCAAATATCTTTTATGTTGTTTTAACTTGCAAGAATTTTTTTCATAGAAATGAATATTTATTAATGAGCCAATTATGCATTGTAAAAAAAATTATTTTATATCCGTAATTTTAAAATTTACGGATACAAAATTGACTTAAAATAATTACAACAAATTATTTTTCAAGTGTTCAATGCATTTTTATTTATTTGCTCCAAGCGGGCATTTAATTTAGCGATACGTAAAATAGTACGCAAACTAGCAACATTGCAAATTGGAGGGATACTTAAAAATACTGTGAGTAAAAGTACCAACTAACTGTTCTTAATATAGAATATACCGTTATCGCAATTGTCGGTAATAAAAGAAAAAAAAGTTTCGGATAGCTCATGAAGAGAATCCAAATTTATTTTTTTAATTTACATGTACAGAGTGACACAAAAATATCTCTGAAATTATATAGCTTCGTAAGAATTAAAACTGAGTTCATATGCATCATAAATATCTCTTCATACATTTTTGATATTTCTCAATTCATAAAAGTTTCAGAATTATTTCTGCATCAACTTGTACATGTATATATATATATAACTTAAATTTTCTATTATAGTCATTATATGATAAATCTTATGTAAAACAACATTCCATTTGTATCATGGATTATATCCGATGGAATGTATTTGCCTTGAATAATGACACATAACTTTTATGTCAGATAACATCCTATCTTTAGTAGACTAGATGTTTATTTAATAGCAATACAATTATTTATTTTTATCCCTAGGTACTGTAGTGTACAAAAAAGTTCAGCATTTCACCGAAATACTAAACAATAAAGTACCTTGTACTGATCACCAGATTTGATTTCACTCGGTTCTCACAAGCACTGTTGGAGACACTGCACTTCATTTATGTAATATATACTTTATTCAACTTACTTGTGTTCTTATTTACATTGCCACACAAGAAAGAAGATACATATCACTCATGAATCTCCCATGGCTTTTCTGGCCGAGTTTTCGTCCAGAACTGTGGATACTGATACACTGGTAGTTCTGTTAGAATGATTCCATTCTTCTCCATTTCTTTAATGAATAATTCACACTTTTCTCCAGTTAGCTCCGAATCAACTTCCATTTCACAGATTCCAGATTCCAGACAACGCCGAGCTAATACACGGGCCACATTGATATAAGCAGAACTATCAATGTCTCTGTAATGCACATATTGCATCAATAGATGAATTGAGTGAAATAACTGAATGCATAAACTTGATGAGAAGAAGAATAATAATAATGGCAAAACAATCTAAGTAAATCTTTGTACCTAAATAATTGTTTCTTTATTGCCCATTCTGCACTGGAAGCTGTAATGACCGGTCCATTTTCAAAGTGGCAAACTTCAGCCGTAATGTAACGAGGTTTCTTGTCGAGAAATAACCTGAAAAGGAAACAGATAGCAATTAGTATTGAATTTTTTATTATATTGCTATAAAAGTATATAAAAACTTGTCTTACTTGTGCCAGCACGAGCGTCCGGGCTTTTCGAGATGATATCCGTTGGGTTTTCTCGCTATCCTCAGCCGCTCCAAATTTCGCGGATTTCGGTTCACCAGCTCCGTGCATGTTTCGACTAACTCGGCATTGCTGTGCACTTCTCTGTGAGCGCGAAAAGCACGAACAATGGTGCGTATATTCGTTGAATACATCGTCGTACGAATCGACTTTATTGCTTTCGTAATGTAATAGTTATGATTCGTATTTTAATTCCAGTGATTGTTGCCGCTGCAGAATATTCCAGAGAATTCCGTTTGTTTGAAGCATGAAGATAGAAATGCATATTACCAAATGTGTTTTCTAGAGATTTTGACTAATGGAAGATTCATACTGCACCTAATGCTTTGATATCCAATAAGATATTTGATATCCAATAAAAAAGTTAATTTTATAGGGATAACTTTATTTTGGACAAAATGTCTAGAAAGAATACTTCTTATTGGATATTGCTATTTCGTACATTGGACGTAGTATGAAATCTTATTAAGAGTTTGATAGCCTTATAAAATGAGCAGTATAAGAATAAATGCTAGTTGAGAGAGAGTGAAGAGATGATTTTGATTTTCAAAGTATTATCACATTTTCTAAATGAGTGCTACTGAGTATAATTCTCTGATAATAGGTGAAGTAATGTCAGTGAATAGAATATAAATAATTTTTTCACCAGTAATAGGATAAAAGAGAAAAGGTATATAGTTTTGCAATGGCTCATTAATTCAATTTTTGCCTTTAAAAAAAAAATTAAAATTTGAAATTTTATTATCTGTTTATTAGAAGATGACATCACCAGTATCTGAAGACTCCAAGCTAACCGAGATAAAAATAGAGAAAGAGGAAAGCAAGTATCCGTACTTTAACAGAGAAGAAAGTGGTCGCAAGCATAATTTCTGTGGTGTTTGTAAAAAAGATGGAGCACTTATATATTGTAAAAACTGTTCAGCTTCTTATCATCTGCAGTGCCAGTAAGTATTATTAACAATGTTGCATCAGTACCAAAATTGATAGATTACTTTTGCAGCAAGTTTAAAGAAAGATTGTATGGAAATATAACTATATATCAATAATTAATTTCTTTAATAATAATTTAAGGTGTGAAATTCTTTTATTAATGATCAAGAAAATAATTGTAGAATTTTTCTTTTATAGCATTCCTGCAGCAGATCCGACAGATGTTTTCAATCAGCAATGGCTGTGTTATGTCTGTCACGAGTTTAAGAGAAATTTTTTAGATGGCAAAGTCAATAGAAAAGGCAAGAAAAGATCTGCTCTGGAAATATTAGCATTTGCAGCTTCTTTGGTAAATCCAAGAGAGTTTGAATTACCCAAGGAGTTACAATCATTATCTATAATGTATTCTGAAAGTAATAATGTGGATTATGTTTCTGATAGAAAAGGTAAACTCATCACATAATAATGGTAGGCGGAATAACATAATATTTATGCTTTTATTTTTAGTCTTTCTAATTTTTTTTAATGAAGAAAGTATTAATTGTTATTATAATTGTTTGTGATAAAAATATTTCTGTATTAAACATAATACTCTTTTTTTTTTTTAGTTGAAAAAGATCACTGCTTGGATAGTGATTTGACGGTACCATTGCCAGTTCGTATGTGTTTTCAATGCGGACGTAGCTGTAGGAAAGCTCCATTAATCGCATGTGATTATTGTCCATTATACTTTCACCAGGATTGCTTGGATCCTCCGCTAATTGCTTTTCCTATTGGTAGATGGGTGTGTCCCAATCACCCGAATCATCTTGTAGATCAAGATTTGTTGACTTCTTGTAAGATAAGAAATCGCATAAAGCTCTGGGATAGATATGGCAATCAGTCAATAGATCAACATGCAATAAAATTGGACTTTGTACATAAATACACTGTCAATTCATTAATTCGTACAAAGGTGAGATTGGAAGGTCGCCCAAGAATAAAAGTTCCTAGCAGTATAAAGTTCCATTACAAGAATCGATCATCATTAGATTCTTTACGTTTTTGTCAAAATAGTTTTATATGGCCTATGAAGAATGTTGGAAGCGACGATGAGCAACACACAGACTGTGAAGAAACAGACAATAGTAAAATAGATAATTGTATAGAAAATAAACAAATTGAAAGAATTAATGAAGTAAAGAAAGAAAGAAAGGAATGCGATGCGATTACGAATGAAGAAAATCATCAACAAAAAGCACCAGATGTGGATGAATATACAAGTAAAGTGGAAAGCAAAATTGCGACAGATAATTCAAAAGAATGTAATAATCTTGAATTTCATATAGGATATTGCGATCATAATGTTAAAGAAGGCATCGAATTGTTGGAAAGACCGGTGTTGGAGGCATTAGCGCAACAGAGATTACAGCAAATATTAAATCCACATGGGGACAATTACGAAATGATAAATTGTCGTAAAAGAGCTAGTGCTGCATTATTCTCCTTAAACCCTAAGCCTAATCCGCCAGCTTTCATGACTCGTAGAACATTTGTTATTGGTAATGGCTCAGATTGTGACTTAGTTTTATCAAATTACGGTAGCTGTAAATTCACATCCTCTAAACATGCAATTATATTTTTTGACGAGGTAAATATTGTAAATTTCTGTTAACAAAAAATTATTTTATATTAGGAAAGTTAAATTGATTTTGTTTTTGATAAAATATATATTTAAAAAATATCTTTCTATTTTTTCTAATCAATATTCGCTTCTGTTACAGGCGACAAAATGTTACGAATTACTCAATTACAGCGAATATGGAACAGTGGTGGACAATGTGCTATATTCTTGTGATTATATGTCAGACGAAGAGGAAAAGACTGATAAAAGCACAAAAAAGGAAAAGACTTCCAAAATGATAAAAACTATTCTACATAAAAACGAAATAGTTTCTTTGCAAGAATATGCATACACACATAAGAGTGACAAGATTCTATGTAAATGCAGTATAAAATGTAATGCAAGAGTGAGTAAACACTTGGAGGAAGGATGGAAAGGAAGCGCAATTATCGCGCATGGCTCAATCCTTACTTTCGGATGTCTTATGTTTGTATTTAACACGATGGATGTATTTATAAATGGATGAAACTTGATATTCATCAAATATTTTACATTGTACAGTTTTGTGTAGGGCAGTAATATACAAAAGTATGTCTTACAAACTAATCTTTTTATTAAGACTGATCCATTTTATTCATTATCATCATCTTCACATGGTTCATCGAAGTCTCTAGTTTTAACATCTGCATCTTCACCATATTGTATAGTATTATCAATTGTTACTTTAATGTCCGTAATACTTTCCTCATCCTTAATGTTTAATGGTAAAAAACGTACTAGACTATAATCTGCTATAACTTTACCCAAAGTTTCTGTAAGGCTGCGATACCTTTCATTCCAGGGATCCCCTTCTGTGTCTGCTAATAAACTATGAGGATCAGGATCTGTATAATTGTCTAGTTTTTTTCGTGCACTCTTTGATAATAGATCCATTTTGCTAAGAATATTAATATGTGGAATTTCTAGGTTTATCATTACACTAAGAGCAGCTAAGGTGCCTGAGAGAAACTTTGATGCATCTATCATAAATTGAACATCCATCAAAAATATTCCACATATACGGAAATTTAATTTTTGCAGCATGGATATTAATTCTCGTATAACAGTCATGTGAGTATATAATTCAATTTGTCCTGGACAATCAAATATTATATAATCATCATCTGTATCGCCTAATTTTTCTGCCAGCCAAGTTGCATTTTCAACTAAATACCTATAGAATGATTTTATTACATAAAGCTATAATTATATAAATAGTAATACATTAAACAGAGATATTACTTACTCCATACAAAATACAAGTCCACCATTGGGTCCAAAGTTAAATTCTTCATCTTCCATGGCATCATCTAATTGAATTAAATCTCGTATATCTGCTAAAGGTTCATAATCAAAATATTCCGCTGCAGGATCTAAATTTACGACATCTACTGTCTTTTTCGAGGCAGCAGCATGTTGTTGCATGATTGAACAGTAAGTGGACTATATAAAACCAAATAAATTTAAATGTTAACAGTTATTTTACTTTAAATATATTATTCTAGTATAATCTCAGTAAATAATTAATTTAAAATTATTACCTTACCACTACCGGCTGGACCCATTACTAATTGAGCGTACCTCATTTTAATAAGAAATTATTCACATGTATAGAGATGTAAATAAGTAACAACTCGGAGCAAGCGAGAATGCTAGACAACACAGCATACACTAGAACTAGATCTTATTTTTTATACTTGTGATTCACATATTCTGTACAATATTCGACTAAAAGAAAAATTACTGAAAACAAAATACTGGATATTTGGATGTATATTTAAAGCTTGACTAAAGATAAAGGTTAGTAATTTAACATTTCGTCACGTTTAGTACAAACAGAGAGAAGCCTGAGAGACGCCACGGCCAGGTTTTACGTGATCCGCCAAAGCGATACGCCACCTGTGGACCTAAAATGTGGACATTTGAAACTACGTAGCCATGTGCACAATTTTTGGTTTCGTTCCGTGCTATGTCCACGAAGGATCGATAATACAGAGTAATGTGCCCATTGATGTATAATATACATGTATAATGTAATACATATATAAATACAAAATATAAATAGACAGTGTTGCCAACATGACATGACAAAACTACTGATGGTAAGTGCCTCGTCATTGCAATAGCTGACCAATAGATGGCACTACGTACGAGTTTCTATATCATGTGTTTCTGTTAACAATTTCATAAAATCCTGGTTAAAATAAAGTTTCGAGTCGTTCCAATGTTAATCTTAATTTTTCTACATGCTTTTGGGCTATTTTTGACAATGTTAGGATGCTTGTAAATACTTAAATAATTAAAACGTCTTTTTTAAAATTTTTGGAAAGTTTTTTGTTACAAAATTTAAAATGTCAATTGTTAAACAAATTAAAAAACGACGTCTTCTTTAGGATGTCCTTATATATAATATGATTATATTTCTAGATAAAAAAGTACATTTCTTAGCTAGATAGCAGAATAAATTGCATATTTAGCAATCATTTTATCGTACTAAAACAGTTACGTTAATAAATACGTAACAATTTTATATCTAAAAAGTTCCATTTATTTATTGTCCAATTTTGTCCAATATTATTCAAATTATTATTTATCATAGTATCAATATTTATACAGCTTATATATATAATATAGCTTAAACATGGGTAAATAAATGTATACATTTTTTAATTAAATGGTTCATACATTTTTTAAAGAAATTAAAAAATGACATCTACAAAATCTCTGTATTGTTTAAATTTTTATCAAATGTTTCTGTCTTTGCTATAGTTGATTCTCGTTCCAATATCATCTTTTCTAAAGAAGGTGGCAAATCCACTCCAATTAGTTTAGTTATTGCACTTCTTTTTGGTAAGCCAGCATCTTTTCTTTTCTTTCTCTGTATCTTCTTTTTCTTTTTCTTTTTGAGTTCATAATGACGTTGGATATGCTCTATCAATTTCCGTTTTGATGTCAATCCCATAGAACATATATCACAATAAAATCTTTCTCCACAATGCTTAATTTTCACATGTGTTTCCAAATTGTATTTAGAGAAATAAGTTTTATTACAATTATCATATGAACATGATAAAACCGATCTATTTTTAAAATGTATTTTTACATGATTTCTCAATTTATTTTTACTAAAAAAGCTCTTGTTGCATGTATCACATATGTAAACTGAAACAAAAGTCAAAAGATTAAAATCATACATTTATAATATATTTATGCTTACTTCTTATATCATTTCATACTTGTTACATGTTTTGTTTTTCTGTGTACACATAGCTGTATCCATTTATCAAACACCTCTAAGCATCCAGGTTCTGTACAAACATAATCTCTAGCAGCTTTCTCATGTCTCTTTTGGTCTTTTTTAAATTTACTGATATTTGTAAAACTATGGTTGCATTTATCGCACGTATAAATTACTGGTCCAAAATGTATAGTTTTATGCTGGGCAAACTGATGCTTCTTATTGAAAGTCTCACCACATTCTTTACAGACAAGTTTTTTGTCTTCACTATGCATCAATTTACAATGACGTTTTAAATTATGAAGATTACTGATTGACATCGAACAATGTGGACATCTAAAAAAGACAGATATAACAAATATAATTTATGATTCAGATCATAATGTATATTAATATTTATACTCACACAAATACCCTTTTTGTAGGATTATGTGTTTCCAAGTGCCTTTTTAGGTGAGAAGAATTTGTATATGATTTTGTACATCCTTCATGATTGCATTTATAAGGTCTCTATTGCATAAAATCACTAATCATTAAATATTTATATTACATTTTTAATTATTTAATATTTATGATAAATACCTCTCCAGTATGCAATCTTATATGTCTTTCTAATTTGGAAGGTTTTGCAAACATAGCATGACATTCAGGATAAGTACATTTATGCTTCTTCTTACTTCGAATATCAATGTCATTTTGAATATTTAATACATTATCATTGCTACTCTGATCTCCTGTCTGACCCATTTTAATGATTAATTAAAAACGTTTTAAAATAGCAAGACACTGATAAGGTTAAGAGAATTGCCGAAACGCTGTACAAAACCGTATGGCACGCTGTAGTCATGCTATAACCTAACCTAACCTAACCCTAACTTTCTTGGTCGAGACCTTCTGGCAGTGATGCAAACTCGAGCCGGCCAGCACGAGGGCTCCGTGGTAGGGGAAGCATGCACACAAGCGAGAATCGCGCGAGAAATGCGCTTGTGTGGTGCCGCTATGTGGGGGCTCTTCCCCTCATGCGGTTCTTGATGCAGGATGCTCGATCTTGCATCACTGATGGTGACATTCTGTTAGCACCTATATAAACAAGCTATCTCGCATTCACATTTGTGACTTCACTTCCAAATAATTTTATTAATGACGAATTGAAACTACAATCCATCAAAGCTCTATGAAATATCTATGGAACATCTATGATTGCTCCATATGATATCTATTAGCGTTTTCGAATAAACGGGGTTTGAACGATCTAGGGTTGATCAATCATTATTTTACTATAAATGCAAGTCTTTCATTGGTGGAGAGGTTGCAATGACGTCATTAACCAATCTTGGGTCGTTCAAATCCTGTATAATCGAAAACGCTATATGAATATATTTGGATGTCGAATGGAGGTATGTAATGCGGAACTGTGGATGTCTAGTAGACATCTATAGGAGATTACATGGACATCTGATAGAGGTTTCGAATCTCCATAATGGACATCTAGTGGATATCCATTAGAGGTTTTTGTTCCGTGTGGGAAGATTAATCATTGCATCGTCACCAATGCACGTCACCAATAAAAGAGTTTGAAAACTGCCAGGCAGTTGATCACAGTAATTCCGAGTGATATTTATTTGAATTTTGTATTATAGACAACCTTTCAAACTTTTTTATTGAAACTTATCAAATTATGAATAATGTATGACTGCGTTATTGAAGCTACCTTGTAAAGATTTTATTCTGTTATGTATTAAGACTTAAATGTACTGAAGAGATGTAGTTGAGAGTTTGACCGAAACGTATACCTTTCAACATATTGAATAAAAGAAGATTTTAACATTGCAACCAAAACCCTGCATTGGCTCTTGATCCTCCTTTGTTTTGTTATATTAATTTTTATGAGCTGAATCGTTCTAATAATTGTTTATTTACGTTTAATAAAACTTATAATAAAACTTATAAATTTACGTTGTATACACACATGTGTTATACACACGTTTACCTTTATTTACCCATACAGCACAAAACATTCTCAGGATATCCTCAGGACATCGAGGATATTTCGGTGTTCCAAGGATGTTCTGAGGACATCGAGATCTCCCCAAGATGTCCTAAGGATATGTAGGATATTTTGTGCTGTATGGGTACACATATTTACTACATATTTCACTACATATTTTACTACATATTTTACTATGAGATTAAACAAATTCCTCTGATGCCGTACATATATGTGATCTAGGTACATTCCGCTAAATATTTTTGTATCTTGTTTTTTAAGGACGTTAATTCCGGTGACAATCGTATCACAATTTCATTCTCGTTTGTTCTTTTGGTTTTTATAGCTTTAGTATCCGTACCTACGGATATCTTAGAATACTTTCTCATTCGTGGTATTATCTAAAAATACATTACAACTACATTATGACATATGCAAAGTTAAGATTGCAAATTTATTTTACCACTTTTCTCTGTTACTAATAAAACATGTTCCATATTGATGTAGCATATATTAGCTAGCATCTCCAACTAATTGTTATCTATTAAGTTTATTGTTATAAAATATAAATAACTACTTACCGGAACATAACATATACAGCCATTTTTATAATTATCAAATGATAACAATTTTATAGGCATTTTTGTAGTATTAAACATAGAACTGCTATTACTATTTGGAATGGAATCACAGTGCGAGACGTCAATATAAAAACCTTTTTGATCTTCACTTTTGATATTTCCACTATAAGTGATAAAAAAGATATATAAATATGATAAGAATGAAAATTTAGGCTAGCGTTAAAATTATACTTACTATTTCGGTTTCCAGCATACGAAGACACTACGTCCGGTTTTTACATCACAGTGTATACCAAGTCTTCTCGCCACACTGTGATATATTATTCCCAGAAGTTGTCCAGTACCACATTTGTTTTTTAAAACCTGTTTAAAATCACAAATTACAATAAAATATATTAATATTAAGACATAACAAGCATAGGACTGTACATATAGCATCAAATATTCATAATGTATTATAATTTATAACTTACAAAATCTATACAGGAGTATTCTAGAGAAAAACTTGCCGCAGACTCTCCACAATTCTGAAAACCTAATTTATTTTGTAAAACTTCACATAGACTCTCTAAAATCTGTTTTACTTCTTTATTTTTCCAATGATTGTCATTGATATTATTGTCTTTCCAAAAAGAAAACTGCTCGTCTGATATTGATAATATTGGATGTGTAGGATATTCGTTTTTAAGGCATTCAAATACTTGCTGTGCAATGTTATCCAATGACTTTCTCACATATATGTAAGACACATATCTTTTTGGTTGATGACATTGTGCCAAAATTGTTGCTGCTTCTTCTAAAATCTGTTGTACAGGATAATTCACGAATTTATCCCATTTGTTGCTTAAATAATAATGATGCAGGTATAACAGAAGCACCTTTGCATGATATCTTTCTGTCATATCAGATTCCCTATATATAAATCATATTTTATATTTAATATTTAAATTTTAATATTTATTGAATTAAATATGCTATATATAAATATATATATGTAAATGTATTATAATCTGCTATATTAACAATTTGTTAAAACTTACTTTGAAGGTTGTAGAAGCAACTTTATCAACTCATTTACAAGGAAATTATAATTCATAAAATATGCATCTTTATCTGGATCAAACAGTGAATGCAAGTCCTTTAAGTCATCAGAACATAAATCATCGTAATGATGCCTCTCGGAGGTCAGCGACATGCAATGCCATAATTTTTTCCTAGAATTTATACCTGTTTTTATTTGTTCTAGAAAATCTATATTTTTTTTGCATATTAGTTTATCATATTCTTCTCTTAAAAAAGGCCATCTAAAATTAAAACAAAAATATATTTTTAAAGTTATACA